CCCCCCCCCCCCCCCTTCCCACATATAGTCGCGAAAGAAATTTTTCATTCCACATTTCTCTTTTTATCCCTTCAATAAACCTAACTCTGTGGCATGACTGATCGATTTCTCGGGTATGGGACCGATACTATGAGTGCGTTCACTAGCGCACAGAGTGGAGTTCCCCAAACCATCGAAATCCATTTGCACTTTCTTTTCTTCTGTGATTTTTGTCCTAATAACGCCGTCATCGCCTGATATCATATTGAACTAGACTAGAGTCTACCTCTTTCATGTTTGACTTTAGTTAATCGTTTGGGTCATTTTTGTTATTTTCGTCATGTTTTCATGTTGAGTTGCATGCTTTGAGTTGAAATTAGAACTAAAGACATTGGCTTAAACTATGTTATTTCCTGTCCAACATATAGTATTGATTTTGAACCATTCACAGACCCATGGCAAGAAGAATAAAAAGAGTAAGAAGAGCGAGGGTGAGACTATCGAAGTGGCCAACGGCCATATTACTCATAACGTTTTCAATCAACCAGATCATGTCATCGATTCTGCCCCACTTGGCAATGTGCCAGACGCAGGCTTTGTGGTGTGTTCGATTCCAGAATGAGTTTCTTACTTTTGAATTTTGTCTAATAATCATATTTTCATTATATGATATTATAGGAATCTAAAAGGGTCTGCTTTCAGCAAGTGGATGGCGAAAAGAAAAAGGGCAACAAAGGAAAGAAACACGAAAAGGACGCGCAGCTTTCCATGGGCGAAACGGTACTGTTGTTCAACGATGATTATTTATGTCGCATAGTTTGAGATCTATTTCTCTTGCGAAAGCTGATGTCTCGACATAGAATTGTTTACCACTCTGATACATGTACTTTCGATGCCTCAATTCAGGAGACCACCGTGGAAGTTGACCACAAGAGCACCAATGGACATCATGAACATACCCAGGAGAAGCATGAAACTGAACAGGTATGTTGTCTTTTCGATAAGCAAGGTTGGTAGCTAAGTAAGTGCGTATTTTTCTTAGCACTTGACACTTTTAGTTCAAAGTTTTTTTCCTCTCTCCTTTTTCGATACTTTTTTGGAACAGGTACCTGAGTACCTTACATGCGCTCAATGCAGCAAAAAATGCTATCTTTTTCTTAAGAAAAAGTTTTTTCACTCAAATCTTCACATTTACTTAGTTGCCAACCCAATAGGATCAGATATGCCCTCCTTGATCCAACCTCACTCGGAAGTGAGGCAAATTGACTGCTCGCGACCGCGCGCTTAAGATCCACTTAATATGTGCATGTCAAGCCGTGATGTTAATCTTCTCGGTAAATTTCGAGTGATCGAGTACATCTGTGATCGTAGACAAAACTTATGTGTTGGTAGTACTGCTAGATTGTAAACAAAAAACTACCTTTTAATATCTTCCAGGATGAAGTATCGCTGAAGAAGAACAAGCAAAAAGAGAAGAAGGGCAAGCAGGCATCACCCACCACTACGGAAGTGCCTAAAGTTGAAGTTGTGACGGTAATTTCCCTCTCTTTTAGCCACGTTGGGCTATAATCTACTTTCACAAATGAAGGAGTTTCTATTGCTAGGAACTGACAAAAGATGCGAACCAAAGTGCCCCTTCGGCTACGAAGTCGCCACCAATTCAAGTGCATGAAGTGACCAGCACGGCTAATGTAAACGGAATGAAAGGTATGGTTCCCTTCCCGTTACTCTCCTTTTCCTTTGTTTTCTGTGTTCTGGATAACTGAAACGAGCTGTTTCAACCGTAAGCAGTTTATTTCAGAAACCTCCCACACTTCGTCAACGACGACATCCCCTACACAATTTGCCCAGAACGTCGAAAAACTAATTTCACACACTATGCATAGGTCTAGAGCCGAAATTATTGAAATTGATCCAAACGTGGTAAGTTATTGAGGTAGAGTTTCTTTCTAAACACACTGTTTTGCATGGTAGTTTGAATGATGAAGTGATTTTTATGAATTTTCTTACGGATGTTACGGATGTAGTCGGAGGGTTTTTTTTTAAGGCTCTTGACATATTGGACTCGTCCATTATAGAACATTGAACGCATTCTCTAAGAGTTAAACACAAAATCATATCACGCTGTCCTGAACAGCCTTAGTTCACAGTTTTGATGCGCGGTTTACAGTTCGTGGTGAATGACGGGGTTAATTTCCTGTATCGCTTCAGTACTGGATTTTGATGCCATGTCTTCGTCTACGATCCTTTTTGTTAAAGGTAATTCTTCTGGGAATTCTTTTGCTCTGGGAATTCTTTTGATGCCTCTTGACGAGTTTGTGTGACTGGTTTAGATTGACGAGTCATTAGTGATTTGGTTCGCTTAGTAAAGTTTTACACGGTAATCAAACCGCATAAAACTTTACTATGCAAACCAAATCTCTGATGACTCGGCAACGCTATTCAGTCTTCTCGGACTTGCTCGAAGTAATGAAATTGTTTTTATGCCATATCTTGCCGAGATTTTTGCATTAGTCCAGATTTCCCCTTAATTTCCCTTTTCTGTGCACACCTCGTACCAACGCTTCACAACTTTAAAAAATATCGTAATGAATCACGATCTAGTCAACTGATTGTCATATCATGAAATCTCCTGATATGTTATGTACATACAAGTGAGTAGTGTCCTATCTTAAAGCATTTCCATGGAAACCCATAAAAACCGCGGGAGAAATCTGAACTGCTGTGAAATTTTCGGCAGCCACTATCAGACCCTAATAACAACCATTTTTTCTATATTAAGACTTGAATAACTTTCATAGTATCCATTGTACGGTCAGCATTGAACATTCTGATTTGGGGTGTGGTGCAGTAGGAATGGAACTGTCGCGTCGCGGCGAGAGGGAAGCCGTGCGCGAAGGAATTAACAGAACGCAGCGGCAGGTGCGAAATACAGAAACAAAGGAACTAACAGTAGATTCATGCCTAAAATAAGGATCGCGTATCGATTGAGCTGTATGAAGAACGCCAGAACTGTAATAACGGCGAACGAATGGTCCGCGACAGCCGCGTGCGGAACCGTCTCCCTTCTGAATTTCACTCGGACATATCCACTCAGCTTTTATCATACAAATGCGTGTAAGTCCATTCATGGACGGTAATGTGTGACAACCGGGTGCACCCTAGACTCTGTCACCGAATTGTACGGATTCGGGAAGCTTAAGGTTAAAATCATGACCACTCAGGCTGTTTTGTTGCTTTTCCATCTAGTCGTAATATGTTAAGAGCCTTCGGGGGTTACTGCGAACATCGAATTTACGCACTCATCTCTCACAAGACTTCTAGTAGTAATTCGTGACTTTTTCTTCTTAGATTTCCTTTTGTGAGCACGTTCAAGTGTTGTGTTTTGGTTCAGTAGTTTCAATAGTTAGAGCATTTTTTTGTGTGCAGAAGGTGACGATCGACCATCAACTGGCTAAACTGGCTGAAAGGAAGACGGAATCATCCGAGCCTAAGATCCTCATCACCCCACTCCCCATTGAACTTCACTATTCGAGGCCTACGGTTTGTGAACGGAGATTCCAGTGTTATGCATCTGCTTTTCCTTCTATTCGCTTTTATTAGAACTATTTAGAAGTGTTTCTTCCTCATGTTTTGTTGCACCACACTGCACCATAGAGTAGTTCTTAGAATACAAAACGCAGAAATAAAATTGTAGCGAAATATTTTAGAAGTTTTTCCTTTCTTCGAAAAGTGTATTATATATTCAGAGAGAAATCAGCGCTGTTTAAGTTGACTGAATATGGATGTTCACTGATTTTCAACAAAAGCCGGTTCTGAACTAAAATAAATTTCAGCGTCAGTCGCTGAAAAATTAGAATAGTTTTAGTATTTCAAGTAAGATGTTGATTTTGCTGGAACTAGCCATTACTCAGCAATAGATGACTTTTAAATATTACTGGTTATTGCTGATATGTAAATCACTTTTGATATGCAGTCAGAACCATCCCTATCCGCAGAACCGCTCTTTCCCAAAACAACATTCCTTTTNATTTTCTACCAATCGGATCTCACGATTTTTTGAATATGCAGTTGTCAGGTTGTAGTTTCTTGGTTGATACTAGATCTTTTGATTCAGTGTTTTTTCTTTATTTGCATTTTTGTAAACAATCCTATCCCTCTACTCCAACATTCACATAAAATATTTTTTTGTGGGAGGGATATTGGCATAGGGATGCCATGAGTTTTGTAGAATAAATAGGGTATGGGATCAATCTCGCCAGTCGAGGGAGACGTTCTTGCTCATGCTTTCATGCGCAGCCCCTCACAAATCATATAGTTGAGTTTGCTTTTGGAGAGAAACTTCTAGATTTTTTCGCTACTAGTTCTAAAAGTATAAGAAAGCAGGAGTATGTTTTTTCTGAGTTCATTTTCCCGCCTTATAGTTTCTTATATTCAGACGCCTTCAAATCGCGAACGAGTATACAAACTGCTTCCAAAAGACATAATATTTTGTTCTGGACTGTTGGACTCACACGGGGAAAATTATGCTGTAAGTGGGATTTTTTCGGGCAAAGTCATTTTGCTATTTCTCAATGTGATTTCAATTTAGGCAATGGCTGCCGATCCAAGAAACATTTACAAAGAAAATGCACGGGCTATTCAAAGAAAAATGAGGATTTTCAAGGTAATTTTTTAAAATTTGTTTTGTCAAATTTGTAGCAAAACCATAGCAATGGTGATGGCCTTTGGCCGTCTGAGCTGCGCCAGTTGACCTAATCGTTTGAGTCATTCCTTTAAGCGAGAGTTTCGTGGGTAATGATTCCGGTGGTAGGATGATTTTTGTGGCAGGGGGATTTTCTCTGTATTCTGTCTTTTTTCAGGAATCTCCCCACTATCAGACATACTTACGCGCAAAGGAGGAAGGAAAAACAGTCGAAGAGGTGTTGGCCGATGAAGGCCAGATGTGATTCCCGAATTCATGTCTTCTATCGAGAGCTGTAATTCTGTTGTATGATCCTCACTCCACGTACCTGTCTATCTTCGGTTGTCCGTAATGTCTTCCAACAAATAGACCATTGCTTTCCTTCGGTTGATGGCCCATGGCCTTCATGGGGCCCATGGCCAATACAACTTTACAAATGAGCCTAACATTGTACAACCTTTGAGCATTTCATCCACAGCATCCGCCGTTCATTGATCTTTGCGCAAGTTCTGTCTTTATCAGTCATTATGTGTCGGTTTTTATTTTCTTTTCTTTTTTGCTCCTTATTTTCCTTGTCATCGTCATTCTAATGAGATGTCCTCATCGGTTTTCTGTATCTTTCTATGCTAGAGTTCTATCCAATCGTTTTCTCGTCTCATCCCCTCTCCTACTGTGTCGTTTTCGGATTTACGAGTGAAGTTGCTCCGAGAATAGCTTCTAACTTGTTACATAGCTATTTTATTAGCTTCTACTGATTAACTGTTTAGAACTTCTCGTTGGTTACTACAGTGGACATTATGCCGTAGCGGCAACTCGCCTTAGGCTTTTTTATTCGTTATTCTTTTTGTTTTGCAGTTTGAACCTAAGGCTCGCAGGAGTGGTAATACTAATGCTGCAGCTGTTTGTTTTCTTTTTTGGGATGCACCACCCTCGAGTGAAAGTCAAATAAATGAGATTAAAATTTTTGTTGAACTGTTTGCTATTTCACAGCTAGGTTCTCCAAGACATGGGCACTTACTTCTCGTTACTATTGATTTCATGTGAAATGTGTTCAAGTTGAGTTTAAATTATTAACATTTTCCAAACCCATAGTTAAACGAACTAGTCATGTCTCACTCGTGGATGCCAACAAACAGTAACAGAACAGCTCGGGGATCATCAGGTGAAGGTTAGCTTTGAGTTAGCTCAGGACTCATGATAGACAGTAAAGATAAGTCCTGTTCAAGCCTTTCAAGATTGTATACTTTATATGGCCAACGTTTCGGTTGCTTCGTCTTCGTCAGGGCCTGAAATAGTGCAAAGCATATGTGGCTTGCTCGCCCAAACGCCTTAACAAAAACTCCAAGAAAAACTTCAAGTAGACTAGCAAACCCCCCAAGGTATTGATCGAATGAGGCATGGATTGCTCACCTTGAAGTCCGCCGCTAAGACAGGAGGACGACCACCCTCGCACTGACTGATGTTTAAAGTAACTAGTAATACCTCCCGCTGACCTCATCGTAGATGCGAGGGTGGTCG